TTAAAATAAAAACTTAGCAAGAAAGCTTTTCTTGAGCAACTGTTCTCAAAATGTTTTTAAAAAAGAATATAAACACAGTATGAAAACCACTTTGATGATTATAACATTCACAGGGCAAGAATTTTCCAGGAAGACGCTATATCATACTACCCATACTAAAGAGTAACAACCATGGAATTATTTAAACAGTAATAAATGCTTCCAAAATAATTCCTTACAAGATTCCTAGAGACTCAAAGTAGTACACCTTTAGTGTCCTTCCCCTTAAGCTATTTTTTCTATTATCCTCTCTATGAGGAGGTCTCCAGCTCCTAGCTGAGGGCAAGTTCCATGTGCACAGTTCTATCTTTTGATTCTATGTCTCAACCCCTCTTCCTCCTCTGCCATCCCTCCTTCCTCCCCCCACAGAATCAAAGTGTGAACACAGATGCACAAAATCAGCAAGTAGTCCTGGTATCTTGGGCTCTTATATTGAGTATCAATATATTTTTAAGGACAGAAATATCACTGACATTTATTCAACAACCTGCACTCACTCACCAATCCTTCAGAGGTGACAAAGATCTTGTGCAGAGCAAGCACTTCATGCATGTGAATATATATGGTCACTCCCATCCTGTTATGTTTTTTTTTCCTAGATGCCTCCCTAAAGCCTCATACGCTCATATGTAGGGCTTTTGGGAGGTGACTGGATCACGGGGCCATGATACTCATCATAGAGTAGACCATTGAAGAGTCATGGCTAAACGCATCTTTGGGAGGTAAAGCCTGGTTGGTGGGGATCACGGGGGGTATGGCCTGGGTATGTTTCCCTCTTCCTTCTTTCATCTCTGCGTCTGGTCTGCCACACCATGAGCTTTCGCCTCTGCCATGCCACCCTTGGAGCCAGTGGACTATGAACTGAAACCTCTACAAACTGTGAGCCAAAATAAACTTTTCCTTCTTTAAATTGTGGGAATTAGGTATTTTGTCCCAGCAATGAGTAAGTACTCCAATGAGACATATATAAACTAATGTAAGGCTATCAAAGAGGCTTAAATGGAGCAAAGAAAGAAAGGGACTACTTTGCCTGGAGTCAGGAAAAATTACCCAAGACAGGAAATATCTGAAAGGTATGTTAGTGTTTTCATACAGAAGAGGAAAGTATACAGTAAAAAAATGAATCTCATAGAGCAGAAACATGTAAAATCACTTTCTTTTTCCACAAAGTATGTTTATAATTTTATTTGTTGGCAGAATAAAGTTTTTCTACACAACTAGTTATCACTTAGTTTCTCAATGAATTTTTGCTTCACTCTGTATGAGAGTTTAGCCCTTCCCAGAAAGTGATCTCTTGTATTTGAAATTCTGCTTGACATAAGCATTTTACTCCTTGCCCCTCATGAAGAGGTGACACTTCATTAGATTTATCTCCTTTTAAACAACTTTAAGCAGGGGAATTCAAACAAATTATGAGAAAGAAATCTGCTTGATTTATGGAATTTTATGGAATCTTGGGTTACTGAGTATACAGGAAAACTAATTTTCTCAAGAGATCCCATAGGGTTTGAAAAATTACACTATGCTGTTGCTTTCCATTCAGTCCGCTTACCTGAAAAAGCTTAAAGGGACACGATAAAAGGAAACAGTTATGGACTTTCAAGCTAAGCAAATAAAATTTCCCTTTCACTTTAAAAGAAGTGACACAAATTAATAACTTTTTAAAAGAAGATTAAACATTTAGTGAAAATAACTTTTAAATATTTTGAGAAATATCTTTAAAATGTTTTCACATCTTCTCAGTATTAGGATAGGTTTGATTTAATTACTGAGATTGAGGAATTAAAATTAACCTCCTGTGCTCTCTTCGGCAGCACATATACTAAAATTAACCTTCAAACAAGATACAGGTTTGTTTACTCTCATTGAACTGCACATCCAACTGCCTGAAGCCCAGAGGAAAGTGAGTGTGGCCAGAAAGCAGCAAGTGCAGAAAAAAGCAATGAAACAGGTGTAGAGAGACAGGCAGCCTCAGGAGAAAGTCCAGAGCCCTTTAGGTGGCCTGCTAAGGTGGCAAGGATTTTCTTCTATGGGCAATGAGAAGCCACCGAAAGAATGCAGACAGAGAAGGTGATGAGGTATCATCTACAAAGCCCCACTGTGAACAGGGGTAACTTCCACAAGGCAAGGCTGGAAGCACAGAGATCGGGAAAGAGGCCAGAGTGGCTGGCTGCATGCAGGGTAATGAGCACACACCTGTCACCGTTCCCTATGCCAGGTCCTGTTTTAAGTACAAAACAAATATTTATTAATTTATGCCTCAAATAATCCTCTGACCCATTTGCTGATGAAGAAATAATGCACAGAAAAGTAAAACAACTTTCCCAAGGGTATAAGCATTGGCATAACTTTTTATCAACAGCCTTCAACCTCAGCACCTGTACTTTTAACTATTACTCTACATTAATAAAAAATAAAATCGAGGGCCCAGGATTTAGCTCAGTGGTTCCACCACCTGCCTCGCAAGCACAAGGTCCTGAGTTCAATCCCCGGTACCAAAATAAATACAGTCGAAGTATAATCTGGAGGGGGATGGACAGGCCTTGGACAGGGCACATGAATGTCAAGCTCTTTTTTTAAGAGATGAAAGAGGAGCCTTGTACTTACATGAGGCCAACTTCAGGGAGAACAAGATCAGGGAAGAAGATCAAGAAATTACCTCTTACACATCAAGGTGACAGATGGGTATACAAGATCAGGCTTGGAGCTACAAATCTGGGAATTATGATGGTCAGAATAATGACTTCGCTGTGTTCACATCCTTGACTCTGGAACCTATGAATGCTTTACCCTAGACATAGCGACAGGGACTCTGCAGATCTGGTTAAAAGTCTTGAAGTGGGGAGATTATCCTGGATTATTTGGCCAGCCCAATGTAGTCACAGGGTCCTTTTAAAAGGGAGGGAATTAGGGTCAGACAGAGACTTGAAGAAGACACCCTTCTGGCTTTGAATTCAGAGGATACACTTTGAGCCAATGAATGCAGGGAGTGCCTAGGAGCTAGAAAGGGCAAAAATCGACTCTCTCTCTCCTACAGCTTTGAGAAGGAACACAACGCTTGACTTCAGGACCTCTAAAGTCGAAAATGTACAAGAATAAATCTCCATTGTTAATTTCAATTTTAAGTTAGTAAAGTGTTTAAAGTTTATACGTCACTGAAAGCATAAGTGAAGGAAGCAATAACTACACACAAGTCTTGGAAGGCACAAGGAGATAAGTATTAGAACAAATGTGGAAAGAATGGCTTTTGTTAAGGGGGAAAATTCTTCTTTTATAGAGAAGTGAAGAAGGAAGTGGATCAGGGGTTGATGTGTAGAGACTGTGGTGGAAGATGGTGCCATTCCACAATGACAGCTACTGTGGTCTCAAGAGAATTTCATGGCTAGGCCACAGCCTGTCAGGACTTGAACTGAGGGCATCTGACTGCTTCTGTTTCTACACTTCCAAAGATTTGTAATAGGAGGCTGGGGATTTAGCTCAGCAGTTCGGTGGCCTGCCTTGCAAGCACAAGGACCCGAGTTCAATCCCTGGTAAAAAAAAAAAAAAAAAAATTGTAATAGGAAACAGGGTGCCCACAGCACTAATGTAACAAACTTGGGTGGGCCATTCAAGGGTTGGCACCCATCCTTCCCTGCATTTCCTGGAGCTGTGGGAGATCTTTAATGAGTCTGCTAATAAGAACCCCTGAAGAAAAGCAAGGGTAAGGGGTGAAGGGAGGATTGCACTGGGCTCTGTATCTACTTCTTACTAAATTGTTTGTAACAAATGCTTTTAACGAAGAATTTAAAGTTGTTGTTTTTTTTTTTTTTTTAGAATACAGATGACAAGCAGCAGGAGTACCTGAACTCTTTTTTGGCACTCAGATCTCAGTGCATTGAGTCTATAATAGTGACTTCCTTCCTGGTGTCCCTCACGGAAGGAACATGTGGGGTGACACCACCAATAGGAGTGGCACAGAGCTGATGCACAACACGTCGGCAGCCTTAAATGCCCCCACCCTCTTCCCACCTCCACCAGGCATGTGAAACACTGTCTTCACCATGCCACACATTCTGGTTACCAAGTTCTACCTCTTTTCCTTCCCAGTCCGAGTCATCCTTTTCACATCTCCCATCATTAACTGACAACAACAGCATCATAATTTTCTTTCTCTAATTTTTCCCAACTCTGACTGCTAAAATTTTCACCTTAATAATAAACACGTTATTTTATTGTGTTCATCTTATGTAATGACTCTATTCTCCATAAGTCTACATTAAACCAATATCTTCTTCCTTGTCTGCTATCATTCCATGTTTTAACCTCATTAACAAAATCTTTAATTCTTACATCTACTATCTCTCAACATGCTGCCTCTCTTTCATTTCTTATTATGAATTTGATTCTTCATTTCATATACACGTTTTCTGCTCCCATGGTCAAGTTTTGTGAAATCCAGTAATCCACCTTTTACATAATCATTTAATTTCCTTCTATAATGTTCTCAATCTCACTGATCTCCAACCACTTCCCTGTTACTTTCCCTCCCCCTACCCATGTGTCTCAAAACTTCTAAATTTAATCATTAAAAGTTTAAAATTCCCCCATAATAGGATCTTCTCTCCAAGCTGTCCTCAAATCGCCACCCACATCTCCCAGTTTTTAGTACCGAATACCACCAGGCAGTATTCTAAGCACTAAACCCTCAAGAAGCCTCCTGAAATAGATACTGTAACTAGCCCACTCAGAACAGCGAGGTCCTTGGCTGGTTAGTGTCGGGGTTTCTGGACTTAGTGATGAATCTCACCCCAGATTCCTGACTGTTTAACAGAAAACAGGCAGCTGGGGGAGCTAAATATTCTGTTTATATTATTCTGCTTATTCCCAGAGACTCCAGGTGGCATCTACTCTAAAAAGCCACTTAGGTGGGGGGGACTCTAAATCCCCAGCAACCAACACAGGTGGGAGGTTTCCAGAGTTACCTGACAGCGCATCATAGAACTCGTCCTCACTAAGGATGCTGCGAGGCGGGGACCCTTCAACCAGAGACTGCTCTAGTTCATGATGCTCTGTGGCGAGAGCCTCCAGCGCTTCTGACAAGATTTTGTTTTTCTCTTGCTCTTGTTCCAATTTTAAATTCCTCACCTAGAAGAAAACAGATATACAAAAAAAAAAAAGGGCTTCTGAGTGACAGGAGACAGACTGAAGGAAGCAAAAACTATTTACTTTTGATTCAGTTCTACTGCAATATCAGAAATGAAAAGTCATGTTATACACACACAGATGAATAAGAAAAATTACTGAGCTAATTTTGTTCTTCCCATAGGGACTTTAAATGAAAACAGATTAAGAATCACCAAACAATTTCAGCTCAAATGATCAGGATCTCAGTACAAGAAGGGGTGTGAGTCAATTCAGAAACCATTCAAGTTTCTTTTAAAATAAAGAATATTTGTTTCAACATTAATTAGGAAATTAAGAAGACTTAACCAAATTGGGCCAGAGATTTAGCTCAGTGGTTCTGCCACCTGCCTCACAAGCACAACATCCCAACTTTGATTCCCAGTACCAAAAAAAAAAGACTTAACCAAATCAAGAATTAAAAGCCATCCTAAATGACAAAATGCACCATTTAGAATACGTACTTTAGAAGTAAACTCCAGTGTACTTCTAAACCAATCGGCATATCAAATGAAGGGAAACAAGCTGACAGTAATAAACACTTTAATTTACATTTTTAACTCTGTTTTTATTTTAATTCTACATTTTATCTTTAATTTAGTACACTAAAAAAATAAATTATAGAAAAAGTAAATCCTGGTTTGATTTTTTCTACCCTTTCAAGTCGTATGCTTTGCATGTGACTCAAGAGTGTCTTAACCTTTTGCAGTTGACTAATACCTTTAAAATACAAGTAATCTAATCTTTGTAAGATAGTCTGCTCTGGATTTGGGAGAGACACTTCACCTACTTTTCTATCAGAACTCCATAAATCACATCAGTCCTCAATCCTTCTTGATTAGGAGCCAGAGGTAAACCAGATACAAGAGCCAGGAAAGCTGAGATCCATGTTAGCCACTGTGGTGCTTCGCTTCAGCAGCACATACTCTTTAGCAATTGTCTCCTTTTCCTTAGTTTCCTGCCTATAAGAGATTTCTACTATCAGGCTGGGTGCATGCCAAAAATCCCAGCACTCGGGAGACCGAGGCAGGAGGATTGCAGTATTGAGGCCAGCCTGGGCTACATAGTGAGTTCAAAGCCAGAATGAACTACATAGAAAGACCCAGTCTCAGTAAACAAAAACACAGGTTTCTATTATCATCTAATATTTAATTTAGTAGCATTCAACACAGTGGTCTTTGAATTTGTTTTTTCATTTAATTGCATTATCTATCTGTCAAACATAATCCCAAAATACAAAATGAAGTTTCAGAAAGCAGAACCTCATTGATGAAATCGGCCCCTGCTTCTTTCACTTCTTCCATCCCTATAGATTCTCAAGGTCCAGGCCCAGAAGCCACTCCAACACTTTGAAAAACACTGGGCAGGGTTCCACCACTCCACTGCAAACCTTCTGCCTCCGATGGCAGGGCTGCTGACTCTTTCTCAATGTCTCCCGCTCACCTCACTCTGCTGAATGCTAACACTCCTCCTCTCGCTCCTCCGCCCAGGCCCCCTAGAAGTACGGCATCTCTTCCCCTGTTCTGACTTGGCTCTTTGTGGGCCTGAGGACCCGACAGCTGCACCTTAGAACACTCTTAAGAGTCCCACGTATAATTTAAAGCGCAGTTTTACTGAAATGCTCAGCTCGTAGCATAAACAGGGTTAAATCTTTATCAACTTGGGAATAGTCCAGTCCTCAGGCACTTTAGTGTTTATCATTACAATGGCAAGATTATAATTATTAGAGCCATAATAACGAAATACGAATAGCAGTAAATGGTAAGCAATAATATGCAGAAAAGGCATGCAAAACTGAAAAAAAAAGTCAAATGCTTATATAAGTACAATATTTAGGAAAAAAAAATACTTGCAAATATTCCTATAAGTGGTATCTCCAGAGGAGATAATATGGTGGAGTCAACCTAAAAAAATAAAAGGCTGCTCTTCCTCCATCTGATGGGTTAAACAACTCCTTTATCTATAAATAAAGATGACAGAATTGAGCACAATGTCCAAAATAAAACTGTCTTTGAATGGAAAAAAAAAATCAGCACAGTTGCACTTGTAAATTCCATGAACAATCCCGCAAGAAGACCCAAATTCCTTCATCAATCATCTCCCTTTCTCTCCCCTTCCCTCCCTCACTCTTTTGCTTTATCTTTTTAGTGTTTCAAATACCAAAATGTAAACGTGCTGGCACTGTACCTTTAAATGTAAGAATTGGCTCATTCCCTCTAATTAACGTCTATACATTTTAATTTCTCAATCTAGCAGATTTCAGACAACTGGCAGGCAAAGGAACAAGACCCCAAAATATCCAGTGCCTTCAACAAAACCTTACTGGATGCATCCTTTTTCCATCTACAATAGGCATCGCCTCATGTCCGCCACAGCTATTCTCCGTTCTCCCTTGTTCTTTTTTTTTTTTTTTTGTACTGGGGATTGAACTCAGGTTCTTGCACTTGTGAGGCAGGCGGCACCACTGAGCTAAAGCCCTGGCCCCCTCACTTGTTCTTAAGACTGAGTGAATGGGGTGGGAAGTGGAGGAAGACGAGGCACTAACCTTCCATTTCTGACCTTGTTTTTATCTTTCAATTATTCAGAGGATACCTTCATCAGTATCAAGCCTGACAGGATTTACTGCACTGAAAAAACCTTACATAAAAATATCTATAAAGTGCAGTCCTTTCCACCAGGCAAGCGACACATGACAGAAACTCCCCTGGCAATAAGCTCTCCCCTTGCAGGAGAGTCACCTGAATTGCTGTTAATACCCCGTAGTAAACAAGAAAGATCAGGCCAATGTAACTCCAAATCCTCTATAATCTCAACATCTCAGAAATACCCAGCGGAAATCTTCCATCTAAAAGTTAGTACAGAACTATTAACAAAGATATTACAGAGTGCAACTTCACAAAATACTCATCTTACTTTTAAACTGTTTCCAAATTTTCCTTTACTAACTTAGATACTATGGTGTAACAGAAACAGTATCTGCTGTGAAATACCTTCTTACAATTCCAGGTGTTTCGTTTACATTATGTACTGACACATGTATATTAATTACTAGGTTTTTGAATCCTCAAACTACAGGAATTCTACTACTTATTAAGGAAGTAAAGAATTTCACAGGACTACTGAAGTCAAACCTGTGTTTCTAATTACATTAAAACATTTTAGATTAAGGTTAATAACAAGAACCAATTTATAATCAAGAGAACATAAATCTTAAATGTATTAGGCAAAAATTAACTGAACCATGACACAGGTAAAGTAAACATTCTGCTTTGCATCCGGAGCCCCTTAAAACATTAACACAAATGTAAGCCTTTCCAGGTGTTTCTCCTCAAACCCCTCCAATGTGGCAGTCTTTCATTTTATTCCATAAGAGAAATTCACAGCGAATACTTGGCAAAGTGAATAGATGCCAGCAAAGGAATTCAGAGTTTTAAAAACAGCCATCTGTGAGGCAGCTTATCCACATTTAACTACTCCCTCATTCTAGAAAATGCCAGGTCACTTCTCTGTGTTTCACAGGGGTTAAATACGGCAGAGATAATAATCTTACATTTGGCAAAGGCACGTCCTTAAGTAGGACACTGGTGCTTAGTACACACAGAAAAGGGAATGCAGTTCTCTCGTTATAAAATAGGTGAAAGTTTGGTCTTGATTATCAGTGGTGTAGCTCTTTCAACTGGGCACGCTTTGGTCAGTTTAACACCACCAGCCTATTTATTTCTTTTTTACGACACATAAAGCTATAGTAACAAAGAATTAAATCAGAACTGAAACACTAGCTCTGAGTTTTTTTTTTTAAACATATCTTTAAGTGAAGGAATAACACTGACACCCCTTTCTGTAGTTACACAACCAATAATACCCTCACTTCAAACTGTTTTCCAGATGCTTATGTGACTCCCTGACACTCATACAGCTGTGGATAAGACAGGTCTCATATGGTACAGCTGCTAAGAGCTCATCTGTCCTCCAATCTGACTACTGCACTGTTTAGGTCTTCTACACTACCTATTACTGCTTTCTAAAATATAATAAATGTCCTTATGCTCCAGATTAAGAAGAGACCATGGAAGAGGTGATGAGTAGGATAACAAAAAGATCCCTTAAGAGGCTACTACAACAATGGGAATAAGAGATGGGTATGAGAAAGAGAAGTAATGAGAACTCGATAAATTTGGAAGAAGACCTAAGTGATCCTAACAAACGGACTACATGATGTAAGAGCAAAGAGAATCAAGGATAACTCTGTAATTTGAGGACAGTCAGATACCTAACATGGGAAACACTGCAGGAGGAACAAGGACAAATGGAAACTCCGTTTCATTTATGCTACTTGTGAAATGCTATCAGACATGGAAGTTCAGATATCAAGTGGACAATTAAATATCAAATCAGGTGCTCAAAAAAGGAAACGTTACATAGGTTTAAACAGAAGAAGTAGACATGTCACTAGGGAGAAGGGAAAAACAAATAAGAAGAAACCAAAGGATGGAATCCTACTAAGAAAGAGGAGAAAGCAGTAGCAGAGGAAATCAAACAAAGAAAAAAGAAGGCAGGCGAGGAGAACAGAGACTGAAAAGGAAAACCAGGAATTTGTGGTACCCTGGAAACTAACAGAGGTATGTATGTGAAGGAGGAAAAGGTGACTGTGCCAAACAGTGATTACAGATCAAATAAGAACTCACAAAAGACCATCGGATTTTGTGATATGGAAATCAATAATGAACCTGACAAGGGCAGTTTCAGCAACTGTTGAGGGGAGGAAAGAAGAAGGGAGGGAAGGACAGAAAAACAGAAAAATTGGATTTTTATGAGGGCTAAAAACAAGGTGATGATGACATTGGGGGGGAGGGTCAATAAAATACCAGAAAGTTTTACTCTTATATTTGTCAGAATGACATGCTCGCTTCAGCAGCACATATATTTGTCAGAATGACTTAAAAATAAGTTCTTATAAAATTAAT